TCTAATCCGCCTGTATTGGTCGCACCGAAGTCAGGTAAACCTTTCTTGATATACATCCGGGCTACAGATCATGCATTGGCAGGACTCTTAGCACAAGATGATGAAAATGGCCATGAGCAAGCTAGCTACTATCTTAGTAGGACTTTATCGGGTGCTGAACCTCGTTATCCTCTTATTGAGAAAGAATGTTTGGTACCGGTCTTCACAGTCCAGAAGATGCGACATTATTTGGTTGGGCAAACCATATATGTGTTTTCCCAGATCAATCCTATTCGGGTATTTATGACACAGCCCAGCGCATTGAACTGGCGACTTGCTAGATGGGCATTGTTGCTCTCCCAATATGATATTCATTTCAAACCTCAAAAGGCAGTGAAAGGTCAAGCTATTTATGACCTTATGGCCAACCATCCATTGAAGGGAAAGGTGGAATTATATCAGGACATACCAGATGAGACGTATGAAGCCAATGTTGTTTCTAAAGAGCAGGTATGGTAACTATATTTTGATGGTGTAGCAAGAGCAAGCCCTGTTGGTTGAGTTATTGCCGGAGTGGGGGTAGTCTTTATCTCTCCACAAAATCATGTGCGACCACGAGCCGTTTCTCTAACAGAGCCATGCTCTAATAATGTAGTCAAATACAATGCTTTGTTAGTCAACCTTGATATAGATAAACAGTTGGGGGTGAAACATTTAGAAGCATATGACGACTTGTAACTCATCGTTAATCAAATAAAGGGAGAATATGAGGTTAAGAATGAGGATCTCATCTATATTCATATTCATACTCATATGTTTCATATGCTATTGTATTTGTGAAAATACTATATTCATTGTTTATAGACTTCATAACAAGAGTTTACATCTTTCTTCAAGTCTATAAAATTATTTTGTATTGTTTCAAAACATGGTTAAGCTAAAATGTCAAAACTCATATGTTTACATTTTCATGTTTTAGACTATTTTGCAAAATGATGATATTTTTCATTTGGGAGGTCCTTTTTAAAAACCAGTCTTTGTAGCATGTTTATTATCATGTCTACAATCATTCCCTAAAGTTTTACATTTTTTTGGAATTTATTTCATATTTTTAAACAGGGTTTTAAAATCAGAAAATTAACTTTCAAACCTGTTTTCTCATATGTCAGTTTACGGTCGACCGTCACGGTCGACCGCGCCTTTGATTTTTTCTACGGAGCCATCAGCAACTTTCGCGGTCGATCGTCACGGTCGACCGTCAGCTCGAAAATTCCCACGGTCGACAGCCACGGTCGACCGTCAAAGTTTCTGGAATTTTCTGAGCCTCGAAAGTGGCTCGCGGTCGACCGCGAGATTTTCACGATCGACCGCTGTTCACTCTAACAGTCATTTTGTACAGAATCTGATTTTCAATTCTGTTGGTTTTTTTGTCATTTATGTTGGGCTTTTGACTGAGGTTTTAGGAGACTATAAATACCCCATTGATCTCAGTTCTCTTTGAAACCCAAGAGAGTGTTTTAAACAAGTTTTAACAAGGGTTTGTGTTTGGTTTAAGTTTTGTTTAAAAAGCTTTTAAGCAAATTGGGAGTTTGTTTTGTGATATCAATTTCACAAGAGCTTGAGGAGATCAATCATTGGTGTTTGAGCATCCAACCTTTCTCCTCTTGATCTATTGAGAAGTTTTCTAAACTCTATTTCTAACTTTATATCTATTTGTTTGATTATCATCTTATTAAAGCTAGTTTTATTTTGAGTTTAGTTTTGATTTGATTTCACTCATTGTTACACACACTCACATTGAGCTTATCGTATTTACATATATATTATAATTGGGGTTGTGAGAGATTGTAAATATTAGAGAACAATCATTTGTTGTATTTTCTTATTGTGAGATTCACTTTGTAATACACTTGTACACGGAGAGAAGTGTGTGGCGAGAGTCGGGGATCGTCCCAAGAGGAGTGGCGTCGGTTGACGAACCTAGGGAGAGGTTGTATCCGAGCACTTGAGGGAGACACGTCTACTTCCAACACTTGAGAGGGTGTAGAGTGGGATTGCAAGAGTGTTGATTGTAGAGTTTTCGATAAACTAGAAAACGGTAGTGTGAGGTGTAAATGTTGTTCGGGTAAGCGTAGAAAACCCGGCTGTGATAGTGGATTTCTCCCCGGGAGTGGGGAGCGAAGACGTAGGACGGAAGGTCCGAACTCCGTGATCATATTGTGTGTTTGCATTGTTTATTTGCACACTATCACTCTTGTTTTGTTTATGTTTATTTCACCCTTGTGTTAAGTTGTATATCCTTGCATATATCTCATAGTATATCTCATTGCTAGGATATATCTCTTTGTTCATATTGCTTATCCTAGCTCATATATCTTGTTGTATTTCATACCTGCTAGGATAACTTGTTAATTAGTTTTAATTGGCATAAAATCGGATTAGATTAGCATAAGACCCTAATCACCCCTCTAGGGTCTAACAACCGTGTTCATTATTTTTCCGGGCAACCATCTTCGTCTGAGCAGAAGCTCTGCTACTCTCGTCCGAGTACAGAGTCCGACCGTTTTTTGGGGGTTTTTAGCGCTAGGGGGAGAGGATCGACTGCGTCAGGGCGATAGGCGGGTCCTCTATCTTCTAGGGCAATGAAATCACGACTACACCCGTTCAGGCCTGGTGTTCTAACTTTTTAATTTCGGATTTATACTAATTATTTTCTTTTTTAACAACAGCCAGATCATTCTCCATTCGATGTTGAGACGATCTCCCCAATGCTGAAGTGATTTCGCCCGAGTCGCCAGCCGATAGTTATAAAAGAGATGCTGCACGCAGCCACCGCGCCATACCTCGCCATCTTCGTACTTGGGCTAGAATGCTAATCTACCATTCTTCCACCATATATATAGAGGTACTATTCGCCTTCTCAAAAAAGAGGAAAGAAAAAAGAGAGAGAGGGGGGGGGGGGGGGGGGGGATTTTTCAGAACCCTAAATTTTTTTTCCACTCAAGTTTATCAACTAACTTGATCATCGGAGGTACAATGCGGGAACCAATCCCCGCCTCTCACGAGTTTCTACGTGTGCAAATTTATCAGTTCCCCAATTCAAGAACTAGACATAAAGTCGGGGAAGAATGTGATCCCCTCATCAATCTCCTCTACTTCATCAAATCGATCTGTCCTGGATCCAACTGACCGTGTGATCACTAGTACATCAACAATATCATATTTTTCCCTTTAATAGTACGAGTTTAGAAAAAACTTTCTATGGTCAATATTACCATTCATTATTTTGAATATTTTATTTAAATTTTAATCTATTCTAATCATAATTATATCATATCCTAATCCAAGACAATTTAAGAAAAATAAGGTTAACAAAATACTTAAAACATCTGCACTGTATTAACTTGTTAAGGTAAAGAGCTAACATGCAATATATGAAGTATTACAAAATAACCTAGAAAGTTTCAAAAATTGCACAAAATATCCTCAACACTTTAAAATTTCACAAAACATCTTGGCATTTTCATAACTTAAAATAATAAACATATTATCTGAAAATTAACACCAGCCTTTGAAGAATTTAAAATTTACAAATAACACCTTCTGTGAGACGCCAACTTTAGTCCCACATCGGGTGTTTTACAGTGAAATTGTGTGGCTTAAATAGGTAAGCCCAAGACTCAAGTGTAACATCGGCTAGTCGGTTTTGGCAGTTCATTGAGCCAAATAATGTATAACACTCGGTGGGTCCTACGACTTGCACGCACCAACGGGCCTAAGGCTGACACCCTCAACATTTTTACAATTGTAAAAACACCCTTAAAAGTTTAGATGATAAAAAAAGTGCCCCGAAATTCTAAAATTTCAAAATTTACGAACAACAAAGATGAATTCAAGATATTACTATCAAACACCTGAAAATTTTTAATTGTAAAAATTAACCTTAAAGTTATAAAAATTGTAAAAGCTCATTCAAAAGGTGAAAATCACAAAAAAACCTGAAAATACAAAACTTGTAACCAATACATATCAAATCTAAAAAACTATCAGCAGACCGCTAAAAAATTAATTTTTACAAAAAACAATCAAAAGTTTTAATAATTGTGAAAAACACCATTAAAATTTTAGAGTTGCAAGAAATATCCTGACATTCAAAAACTTACCACCAACATATAAAACATAAAAATTATAAGCACCCAACTTAAAATTTAAAATTTTTATAAAACACTCAAAATTTAAAAATTTGCAAAACACACCCTAAAAAATTTAAATACACAAAAAAGACTAAAATTTTAAAAGTTAGCAAAGAAAAGATTAGTTGTTTGATATTTTTTTCATTAATATATAAATTTAACTTATAATTTAAGGTTTACTATCACTTTTCAGCATCTAAATACAATCTAATTTCATCAAAAAAGAAGGTGGAGAAGCATCGAAGTCGACTCAATAAAAAATAAAATAGAATGAATGAAAAACATTGTTTTCCGAATATTTTATAGAATAGTTTATTTTTGAGTAAATTAAGAATCTTTAGAAGAGATTTTCATGAACTTTTTTAGTATTTTTATATGCTTATGTGGATGTTTTTACCATATAAAATTATACTAGAGTTAGCATTAATCTTTAATTTATGATTTTTTAAAGTCTATCAAAGATTAGGAACAAACTACATGTTCTATTTTGTGTTGTTTTAACCCATTCTTAACCAATTATCTTGTCTTATTAGATTTAATTATTCTTTTTCTTTTTGTAATGCTATTCTTTCAAGTGTTTTTCACTTTTGCAAATTATACATTCTCAGGTCATGCTTGGTGTCATGTCGGTCCAAATAACATGATTATTTAAATTGGCTTCGGTTTACATTTATTTTCTATCAATTGAATTATTAACATGAAAATTTAAATATGATGTAGCTCACTTAAACGAACATTAAAAAAAATAATTATAATGCTAAAGTTTAGAAACATAAGCGAGCAAAGACAATTAAAGTGAAACCTAAGAACAAATTTTAGTAAAGCTAATAAACCAAAAATAATTAATCATGATATTTAACTACGTGCATTGCACGTGCAAAGAAGCCATGGCGTGTGCATAACCAAAATACCACTTTCATCCGCCCTTCATTTTGACAGATGTAAGGTCAGGATCGATTGTTGCATGACAAAAGGCCGCAGGCCCAACAGCTATCCAAGTTTGGGCTTCAACCACCAACATTCTTGTCATGGATTTTATGTCCGGGCAGACCGCCTGGGCCAAACAACAGAATAAGCACCTTAACAACACACTCTTATTTCTTCTACTGCTGCTGCTGCTCACTTGTTCTCATCTTCTCCCCCCAAAACCGCAATCGTCATCATCCACAACAACAGCAAACAGATATTATGACCTGCGTCAACATGTAGATATACGCATATATAAGTTTCCCAGGACATTTTGAACGAAAACCTCACTCTCTTGCATCTCTCGTAAGTCACATACATATATCAAACACGCTTGCTGGAGCATCCACTGCTGCCGTTCCATATAAGTACAAACACGCACACAAAAAAAATTATATTATAAAAATATACACAACTTGTAAAAGACGACGGTGACAACTTCCCCTGTTACGTGTTTAGGATTGTTAGTTAAAGAAAATGTACATTTCCCTAAACTAAGCCAGTATATTCCCATATATCTTCTGCTGTCTACTCCTATTATGTAACACTGCTCCCCTGAGTCATGGTCACTGGTGTGCTGCACACATCTTTTGCTGAAGTGATGACTGCATAGCTATTATCAGATTGTGTGACTGTGCTACCTAAGTTGCCGCTAGTTCCTACAGATTTTTTTACTACGCCTGGTTGAGTTAGATTTTTGACATCAAGACACAACTCATTAGATAGCAGCATATCTACCACCTGTTTCATCGAGGGTCTCTGGTGTGATGCTGCTTGGGTACAACAAAGTGCAACCTTAACGAATCTCAAGACCTCCTCTTCTGGATATCCCTCTAGCTTTGGGTCCACAATATCCAACAGCTTATCTTCAACCCGCATTTTCCAGACCTAAAATACCAAAAATACAAATTTCTCAGCATCCTGATAACTGACATATAGCACCGATGTGAAACGCAAATCTCCGACCAGAACAGAAGTGACATCCTCACTATATATTGAGTAAAATAATACAGAAACTAACTTTTGGTTCCATGCATAAGAGATTTACTAAAACCATACTCAACATGTCTCATCACATAGAACTATTGGAAAACCCAATAATTCCATCAGATCGAACTGTATGCTGAACTTGATAAGTGACAGAAACAAAGTTACCCATTCCAAAAGATCCTTCATATCATGCCCCCAAACCGACTTGCTGCTGCTCCTCCCACTAATGACTTCAAGTATCAGAACTCCAAAGCTGTAAATATCTGCTTTTTTTGTTAATTGCCCTAATAAAGCATACTCGGGTGCCAAGTAACCCCTATAAACATCAGAGAAAACAAGCAAACAGAAGCAATGCAGAGATCAGATAGACTTCCAGAAGCTCAAAACCGAAAAAATACATCTGCAATTCTAGCTAAGGAATTGAGAGAGATGACAAACAACATCAACAAAAATTTAGTTTACAAGCACAGTCATGTATGATACAATACATCCAATGCAATCTTGCAGATAACTTTTATACAACTTCGTCAGCCAAAAGGACTCAACGTAGACTTCTTACAGTTACTAATCCCACAAAGTAATCTTATAAGGTATCTTGCGCACTCAAGACAATAAGCAAATAGCAGACTCCAGCCATTCAAATTATCAAAAATAAATTTCACTTGTGCACCTCCAATCTCGGGTACTTTTTAAAGTGTTTCCAAAATCATTATTTTTGCACTTTGCACCCAATTTGCAGTCAAGTAAATTCAACACTTAGTTACACTTACCTCGCTCCTTCCCTTTCTCTCAAATCTGGACAAGACTCCAAATTTTATCCGGTCTACATCCTAGGAGAGACTCCTCATTCTGAATTATCTGGACCAAATCTGGACCTAGACCTAGTATGCATCTTAGCAGAGAATCAAAACCTATGAGCAGGGCAACACCAATCTTGTTTTACGCTCTTCATCATATAGAACAAAAGGGAGGAGAACTGGAGGAGAGGATTGAGAGTATTATTGCTTCTTCAGAGTTGGATTCCTCTTTTTTAAATGTTACTCTTATCAATTTCTCTCTCAACCATAGTATAATAGCATCCCAAAGAAAAGAAGAAAAAAGCCTTCTTGACAAATTCAAACTCTCCACCAGATATGGAGAGTTGGGAAGGGGTGGGGAACGACAAGAGCTTCGATTCCAGGAGGTACAAGACAAGAGGTTTGTGAGTGCAAACGAGATCAGCGATGGCACATTGTTTAGGGGGTGCGCCGAGACCACGAATGAAAGGGACCGAATTGATGGACACAAAGATCAGTACCTTTCCCACAGAAGGAAAAGGCAAGGCCGCTTCGAAAGAAGAACCGATTACCACTTTTGCAAAAGATCATTTATCCAAAAATGTTCTGTCCTCTAGCTAATTGAGCTTGTGCGATTAACTACAAGAAATTATGAGATGAGGAATTGAGAGATCGTGGGATAGCGAAAATCTACTTATTCCTTTACTGAGGCAATGAATCTCCTCATCGGGAAAGAACTGCTCTTTAACTAACCGCCTTATAAGTCATGAAGTCCCGAAACCGAATGATTGACAGTGGATTGACGGTTTTATAGTTTAGAGACTTGGGAATGACCTGCTTTTATAGGAACAGATAATCGAGCTTTAATAGTTCCTGATGAATACTTGTCCGAAGCCGACCACCCCCCTGAGTCACCGTCCTCAGCCGTCTCCCCTAAACCCAAAACCCATGCTCCGCCAACCAGAGCCACCCCTCCCAAAACCCCTCTCTCTGAAGCCTCACTTCTTCGGAGAAGAACAATATTGGATCTCTTTTTGGCTTCCCGACCGGCCAGGAGTGCCCGACTAAAAGTAGCTTGGTTGAACAATGTGAATGAAGATGCTCAGAAGCCATGGTGCGAGACTATGAAAGCGTCCATTTTCTTCACTTGGTTCCGTCAAATCTTTTTCCTCATTCTCCGTAGTTTCCAATTGGTATTTGGATCCTGTATAAGAGAAAGCTTTTGAGCCGGGGGTCATTTTGCAGTCAGCCCAGTTTTCGTGATGACCAGTTTCAGGGTTGATCAAAAAAGCGATTCAGTGGATCAGTGAAGCTAGCAATCCATAGCCAGTTTCGGGTCCTCAAAGACTGCCCTTTGATGTCAGAGGAATTGGAAGAGAAACTCTTTTTCACGTTCCATAGCCTAGCTTTACAAACACTTGATTCTAATCTGGCGCACCAGAATAATAAACAATCACACCGGAAAGAATGGAATACAAACCTAGGATTCACTTATCCCGAACCCTTGGGTTCCTTTGACGATACGGATGTATGACTTCTTGTACAATCTTTTTCTTCCATCTAAGAATTTATCTGTTTGGTTAAGTCTTTTTTTTCTAGTGATGGTTTTAAATATCGGCCGATAATCCGATATTATCGTCGAGTTATCGAATTTGGGAGCTTTCCGCTAGGATAAGTAGGATTTTTAATCGGTTATAGTTTTTTGAGGATTATCGACGAGTTATCGGCGATAAAGGTACTTATCAAGGTTTTAAATATCGAATATCGGAGAAATATCGGATGGCCAAAATTCATATCGGATTGCGGATATCGGGGAAATATCGGGGATATGTGATAAATATCGGAATGCCATAATGAATGTTTGCATACATAGTATAATGCATTAAAATATAATCTCAACATATGTAATAAAATTTAGGCATACAAAATATGAATAGTATATGTTTAGGATCACTAATCAACCTTCTAAAACAAACAAAAGTGCAAAGCAACGTTGCAACATTCGATCTGTTTTTTTTAGGGCAAAATGTCATTTGATATAATGGGAAAATCTTGATATCTCGCCCAAAAATTCCAAACACGATATATTATTTTGCAACAAGCTATATAAAAAAGATATATTAGTCCACAATTCCACATATCGGCTAATATATCGGTCATATCAGGGATTTATCACTCAAAATAGCCAAAAAGCGGTAAAAGATATTTAAAGACCATATCGGTTGCGGCAAGCCCTGTAAAAGGATATATCGGGGGATATATTGGGCCATGTCGAGGATATTTAAAACAATGGTACTTATCGGCCGATAATGGAGGCTCTAAATATCAGCTTTATCGGGCCAAATTTGAGTTGAATTTTTAGGTAAAATGGGCAGTTATTTAGTAAGTTGTTAAACCCGACCCGACTCGCTTTCTACAATTGGTTAGTGATTCTAAACATGATTATTTATATTTTAGAATGTTTATATTTCATTAAGTATGCTTAAATTATATTTTTTTGGTTATTATATTATATATATATACACCGTACATCACCCCGATAAATACTACTTATCCTCGATATATCCCCGATTTCCGCTATCCGATAAGGATTTTTACCGATAAATCCTGATAACCGATATTTAAAACCTTCCCTTGATTTGCAATCCAATTGAAAATCGGAAGAAAGGGTCTCTGGAGGATCGGTAGGAGCCTTGCCTCTCCATGTTTCTGAAGTAGTGTCACGAGTACTTTTTTCACTATAGGATGCTACCCGACAAAGGTACGAGGCTCCCCCTTCTTGCATCTGAGTCCGCATAATATAATGATTCATGCTTATTAAGACTTCGAATATAGAGTGCTCAATAGTCAATACTTAGATTTGCTAGAAGAAATAAGAGAAATAATGTTTCATGGATTTCTGAAGGAGAAAGAAGTGGAGGAAGGATGGAGGAAAAAGAAGAGTGCAGATTCTGTAAGATATGTGACAGAAGTTAGAGGACAAGTAGACTACATCTTTGACAACAAATAGGAAGGTAAATTGATAAACTATGGAGATCTAGCGAATAACTGTAACTACATATATAATACTATACTATTATAAAAGTATGTAGGATGTTAAAACATTTTCTTCCAAAATACCCTCCAAAACACATACATGCATATATAAACCATACCCCTTTAAATCCTTCAAATACATACATAAATTGTGTTCAAATTCTTCTCATAACCCTCAATCTTATTAAATTAAATGTGTAGACATTTTTTTAAACTATAGCATAGCTATTATTTAATATGGTTAGATATACTTTTTTAAATATAGTATAACTATTATTTACTATACTTTGACATATTTTAAACTATAGTATAACTATTATGTAATATAGTTTGATATATCTATATTGTACTAAACTTTAGATATTAGATAAACTTTATATCTATATTATATTATACATAAAACATGACGTATGCTAAAATATAGTACAAAAATATACTATATTATAACTATAGTGTATTATATTTTTTAGTTTTAATAATTTTCTTATCGAATGAGCTTCAGCTAACATTGATGAGTGACATATATTTGTTTAAAGGAGCATTTCAATTCCTTAATGATCATGGTTTTAAATATCAGTTATCATGGATTTATCGGACGGTCAAAATCCATATCGGGTAGCGGATATTGGGGACAAGTAGTATTTATTGAAAGGACATTACCGGATGGTGATATACATAATATAATATTCTAAAATGTAATCTAACCATACTTAATAAAATATGGACATACCAAATGTAAATAATTATGTTTAGGATCACTAATCAATGATAGAAACTCGGGTCGGATCGGGTTTAAAGTGCATTGAACAGGTGTCCATTGCCCAAAATCAAAACTCAAACCAAAGGCCAATAATTTCGATTTTGAGGCCGGCAAATATCGACCGATAACTCGCTTTATCACCGTATTATCGGCGATAAACGTCCAAAAATGATAACCAATTTAGAATCACTTATCATAGCGGAAGACCCCAAAAATCAATAAATCGCCAATAATATCAGTTTATAGACCGATATTTAAAACATTGTTAATGATACATACAACGTTTGTCTTCTTTATGTAGTTAATGGCCCAATTGAAGTGTCCTTTTGTTATCTTTGGTCGTTATTTCTATTAATGTGAAGTAATTAATATTCATTAGTTCTTCATCTTTTTTCTTATCATTTCTTTACACTTTCTCAATCACAAAGCATGAAGGTCATTCTTACTCTTTAAGAATCAACCCAATTAGGGATGAAACCCTAAGAGATGGCAAGATATTAAAATCTATGTAGAAATATTGAAAGCATGGGTCTTTAGATGAGCATTAATAGCTTTACTTATCCGGCTTCTTTTTTTTCTTTTTTTTTGTGTGCAGGTAATTGGAAAGTTGTTTGATCATCACACTTGTCGGTATATTTTGTGTGCTGCTTACCTATGGGAACAATGAACTCCAAAGGTTTTACCTATTCTCTTATTCCAGTTTATGGTACCAAGGATTTTACTTGCATGCCTCACTCCTCACCTTTAACTTCAAAAGAGATGCATGTTTTGCCCATCACTTTCCTTTTTGCATCGTATAACTTCAAAGAAATATTATATATATCTGTTCCAATTCTTTCTACTTCTTTATGTAGCTAACAATTTGCCTAATGTCTTTATTTCTATCCTATTGCTTGGATTGTATTATGCTTTACTATGTAAATGCACAATACTTCTTTCTATGATCAATTTACTTTAAATTTTTTTCGTGAGCCACTTCATCATTTCACATTTATATATAGGCAATTAATTCAATTTTATATAATATTAAATAATATTGATTCAATTTCATAAAAGTGGCTCAAAAATATTATATTTAAAGCAAATCATTGGAAAGAAGCATTGTGCGTTTACATGTCAATTGGTTCAATTTCAATATGAAATGATATTTAAGTTTTTTTAATGAGAAGAAATGTAAATGGCAATGGATTCAATTTCAATGGAGGGAGAAAGACTGAGGGGCCGATTGAGCTACCCAGGGCCAGAAGTTGAGATTTGGGAATTGGATCAAAGATGAGAGATAAAGGAGCAGATTGAGCTACCCAGAAGTTGAGATTTAGGAATTGGATCAAAGATCAACGATCGTGAAGGTCTTGTACAGTTGAAGTCAGGATAGGAAAGAAAACTTACGCTTCTATAAGACTACTGTTTACCTTCCTCAAATGTGTTAAAAATTAAGTAATGAACAATAGCAAATTAATAGAGAAACTAGAACTCTTTAGTGAGTGAATTATAGTGGAAAGATGTACAACTATTATTATGCACGATATTAAGTAATATTTATATAATAAAATGTAGAACATAAAATAAATATATCCATGTGCAATGCATGTGCACTATACTATATATCTATATAGACACGCGCGCGCACACTTAGATATAGGTATATGCTTGGTATCAAGCACAAAATTTGGTGCTTGATAGTGATGTGACCACTTCTTATCCACTCATTTAATGACTTATCCACTCATTTAATGAGTAGATTATCAAGTGAAGACCGTTTTTAAATGAACACACCTTTAAATGCGTGGATAATCATTCAATGCATGACACTATTGAGCACCAAATTAAGGAGGAATTAGTCATTTTGTCCATATATGTTTAGACGCTCCATTTACAATTGAAACATTTATGGATGTTGAAGTCTCCTTCCCTTAGTATGCTAACATATGTATGTATGTATATAGTATATAAACAAAGCAAATATGAATATGTAGCTACATAACCAACAATGCTTTATGAAATATAATGTTAGCAGTCAAGAAACATATCTCAAAACTTGTGTAATAGGAATGAAAATGTTAAGATTAATAAGTCTCTTTGTAACGAGTTATAGTTTGCTTACATTGAGGGTAAAATGAGAGATGGTTAGGGTAGCAATTGAAGCTAATAAGCGTGTCATTAGAAGAAGTAGAGCGATAGCAGTTCCTAGAGTAACAAGGACTAGAGACAAGTCTATTGGACACAAATGGGGACTATTAGAAAAGTTGGGAGTTAATTTAGCTAAGGAGACAACTCTTGACAATCTGAAAAGTTTGTAGTTAATTTAACCGGGAAGACACTTGACAATCTTAGTGTGATGTAAAAGGTTCATGTAGCTAACCATAAAACTGGGAATAAAGATCCTCGTTTTGTTGTTGTGTAAGAAACAAGGGTACATAAATTCCAATAACCGCTTCATACGTGATGCAATTTACGTGATATATATGTACATATTGCATGAGTAGGTAGTTACAATTTCTCATCAAATAATTAAATAACAAAAAAATATTTTTATTTTACATTTCCAGAGATTGATGTTTAAAGGATTTCCCACTTTACACTCCTGGCTTAAGCTAATATAAGTAACCCCTAAAATAATGTCAATGACCACAGAAAAATAGTTTATTTGAGTTAAAGTAAATCACTGACATTTTTAACTGAATGCTTACATGGTTCCAGCAACTCGCGTGCTGATGTGAGTGACATTATCAGGGAAAAGCTTCGCAAGACCGAAATCTCCTATTTTTGGGACTAGGTCTTCGTCAAGTAAAATGTTACTAGCCTTGATATCTCGATGGACAATATGTGGCTCAGCTTCTTCATGAAGGAACGAAAGACCATGGGCTGTACCAAGACAAATAGCAGCCCTTTTGGACCAGTCCAATGAGATGGAATTATTCTTGGTGCCTGTCATGATATAGAGATGGGTTGACATTGATATGCTAGTTCAAAAAATTTCACTTTAGTTAAGTTTAAATTATAGCAAGCCAAAATTTTACTTACCAAGCAAAGCATTTGCTAGGCTGTTATTCTCCAGATACTCATACACCAACATCCGATTATTATCTTCAACACAACATCCAATCAGTCGAACAAGATTAGGATGTCTAACATTAGACACCATATCAATCTCAGTCAGAAACTCATTGGTTCCTTGCTTAGATTCAGTGGACAAAGACTTTATTGCGACAAAACTTCTGTCCCTCAATATTCCCTGCATGTAGAGCAGAAAAATTGGCTAAAATGAATAAAACTACTGAAGAATCAAGTGCGAGAATACAAAACCATTACCTTATAAACAACACCGAAGCCTCCACGACCTATTTTGTTTGTGGGATGGAAATTCCTTGTTGCTGACCTCAATTCATTTAAGGAAAAAACGCGCAAGTTCTTTGGTGAAGAGTATAAAGTACCACCTGCAATACAAATTATGTGAGTCCTTTGAGATTAGGTAAGATAAAGCACTTCAAATGCATGATTTGTAGGAGACATAGCTCAGGCTTCCCACTCCCTTAGTGAAAAGAGAGGACATAAATAGTATTCAGTAGAACAAAAGGGAAGGGTTCTGGATAAGTGCATTAATTCTTAACTGAACGTTCAACAATATATATATATATATATA